GCCGTGGCGAATGCAGAGGCCGGATCGTCCGCGCGCCGCCCGGCCGCAGTTGCCGCCGGAGGCGGAGCACCTACGACCGCCGCCGTGGGCGATGCAGTGGTCGGTTCGGCCCTCGGCACTCTTCGTGCACCCGAGGTGCTGGCAACGCCGCCCGCCACCGTGGGCCTTGCAAAAAGCGGTCCGGCCCTCAGCGCCTTTCCGGCAGCCGTCCCGCTGGCACCGCCGCCCGCCACCGTGGCCGATGCAGAGGGCCGACGCGCCCCGAGCCCCGCGCGTGCATCCCTCGTGTCGGCATGTTTTTGCTCGGGACTTGCGTTTGGTCACTGATTTCGAATGGGATGGAGTCGAGCCTTCGTCCTCGGATGGGTTCTTATCGGGTATGGTGGTTGCATCGGATTCTGCGTTGGCGGTGGACAAGCTTAACTCGAGGTCTATATCTGGTTTCCTTTTGTTGGTCGCATTCAAATTCCCAATCGGGAACTTTGGATCGGACAGCCTCTTCTCTCCAGCATTGAAGTTGATGCTTAAATTGAGGTCGATCGAGGAATCCTCTTCATTTTCCTTCCCCAAGCACATGGTCGTGCAGGAACTGGATGAGAGGCCCAGACCCAGACCAAGAACCAGAGAAGATCCATCGTTGTTGAAAGGCGGATTGCGGGTGATACACATTCTCTTGTTGGGGCAAAAAGGGATCGGCACGCCACGCGAATCAAATTCTAAAGGGGTAACAGTTGGGAAATCGAGTTTGGCCCAATCTTCGGGCATGTGGGCCATAGTAATGGTGTAGTCAGGGGTGCCATCCATGCAAATGAGAATCAAACCAAAAGTGAAACTAAGGAAAAGATATGAACAGGAAAAGAATAGGTTGCCCGACTTCAAAACGAGAAAATCTAATAGCTAAAAAATCAGCACATAGCTTTGAAGATGAAGCAGCCACCACTGACAAAGCCTGATGTGTCCTTGCGATCCATTATAAGAAGGTAAGCGTAAAAGTTCAGCACTTCGAGAATTGCAAGAAACTATCAACCGAGAAGAAATTTTACATCCGTTGCCAAGAGAAAGTCCGTCATCCTGTCGCAAGAAGATGAATATAATATCAGCTCAGTTTTTAGATATGTACTAAACCTAGCAGCAAAATCTAACACCTTTTTTTACCTTGAAAATATTTTATGCTGGGAATGAGCTAACACAACTTTATAAACTAGACTGTTTAGAGTGCACTCCTACTATTCCTTTCCACTTTTACTCGTTTCATAACATAAAAGTAAATCACAGAAGTAAATCCGAAGAACAGCGTAGCATAGAGAGAAACAAGACACAAATTCAATTTCAATGAAAACCACCAGCACAAACTCAATGGAAATTAACTCCCAGTAACATAAATTTAAGGTACTGAATTCATCTTTAAACACACGTCCTCCCAACAGACCATTAAAAACAATCCATAAACCTTCACAGATTAACATAAATTTTTCCTACTTTGTTCCGAAAACACAAACGATAAAACACGACAACAATCACAAACGAGATGAGAAGACGAAATCAATCTGAATAATTTATGCTCAACTGTGTTTTCCCTACACAATTAAAGCTCAAGCAACACGAGAAAACACAGAGATTCGATGAATACCTCAGCACAAATGCGCCGCCTTCGGAGAAAACTAGGGTTTTTCGACGCCGACGGCAAATCCGAGGCCGACCGAGAGAGAGAGACAGAGAGAGAGAGACAGTAGAACTCTCTGGAGAAAATGAGTGGAGAATGGAGATAACAAAGGGAAACTCAAATTTAATATTGGACGCCGGGCGCATTTTAAGACATCCGCGCACGTTAGGTGGGGTGGCGTTGTTTATCCTCCGCGCTCGCGCGTTAATTTTTCCTGTGTGGTCTCGCTGGTCAAGGTCAACTCTCTTTATTTAGGTATTAATATTATTTTGTGGTTTTTGTAATCACACAATTGTGAAATAAAATTAATGTTACAGCCAGATTATATAGGGAAAAAATGTATTTTTTGGTGATATAATTGCTTTAAATTGTGAAGTGGTAATTAGATTATGGTCATGGTATTTATATTATGTTATTGCAATTGATTTAATTTGAAATTAATATAATTATTGTGTTGAAATGTGTAATTTGGTTCCATAAATATTGAGTTGTAATCATATTGTGTGATAGTAGGAAAGTATTGCAAGATTGTGGTAACATTTCAAAACATAAAGAGTTATATTTAACTTGTATTTGAAAAGAAAAAATATGATGAACACTAAGTTATAAATTTAAATATACATAACATATTGATACATCAATATTGGTATGAATGACAAATCCAGTTAAAAAAAACTCAAGTTAAATGATAGTTATAATATTAATGAATTTAGTGTTAGAAAGGGGTTTAAAATTACACTAGAATCATACGAACTGAAGTAAATTTTTCAGTTCTTACATTAAAACTAAAAAAATAGAAAATTACAATATATCCGGAAATAAATTACAACTTGAATGATAAATTACGGAAATAAGTTAAAAAGTTAAATGATAGTTATAATATTAATAAATTTAGCTACAAATACTAATTGTTAGTTGATAAACCGATACCAAATAATATATATATATATATACAAGATAATAAGTTAATTAATAGTAAAAATGAATATCCCAATAGTTTTTTTAGTTAAATATTAAATACTTTTGTAAGTTTGGGTCTATTAAGAAAATCATTCTCCACAGTCAAACATATTCGAACACAAAAAAATTATAAACTAACTAAATATGATAAAATAAGATAAGATATAAACTAATTACGTGATATTTATCAAATATAGTAAAAAAAAATAACAATGATATTCAATTTTGATAAAATTAGTGAAATTACATTTTTTTTTTTAAATTTTTTTAGAGGACTTTTTTTTTAAGCCTTACGGGTACACCGTAAGAACCAAAACCTAGACACACGAAATCGCAACCAAGTCCAGAATTGAAGATGTCGTAAGGGATGACGTCAATTCGACAGCCTAAGCAGCGGCTCGCAATCGATAATGGTGCGCCGCGGTCCCCACTAATACTTACGTTTTCTTTTTTGTTTCGTTTTCCTTTTACGTGTTTATTTTTCTTTTAAATTCGTTTTTCAGCCTTTATTTTTCCTTTGGAACAACAAAACATTATTTTAATTGGCAAATTGATGTTTGGTAAACTTAGCCATGGCCAAAACGGGCCGGACCGCTGGAAAACAATAACCCGGACCCGGTACGGACCTATACTTATTCCGGGTCAATGGTCTAGTTGGCCGGGTCAGAGTTTTGGGTTTGGGTCGTGTCCGAGCTAGGTCCGTTATATTTTTAAGAAACAACAGAAAAAAAAAAAGGAAAAGCGAGTCATCGGCTCGACCCGGACCCACCGGGCCGGATTTTGAAATGGATCACCCTGAAACGCCCGTCGGATTTGTGGTCAATGGGTTTGACCGGCCGATTAACAAGCCGGGCAACGCTTTGCCATGTCTAACTTAGCCTTTAATCCGTAACATATAAGTGTTAGTTCATAACTAATTTAATTAGTTTATATGTTTTTTATACTGAAACAAATTTTGTTTGGTAAGTGGAGTTTTTATAAATAAACTTGAGTTTATCTAATAAGTTTCCTTAAACAACTTTTCAAATAAAAATCGTTGAAATTTTTATTTGGGTTAGTTCATCATCTATAATTTTACCAAACAGTTTTATCATATAAGTTAACTTTTCAGCCATAAATTATAAGTTATCAACTCTAAATTCGAAATTCACTTAAAAACTATAAGTTAGCTTATCAGTTAGGTTTAACTTGATGCATATGATAAAATTAAAATATCTATTTCTTAAAAAAAATAATATATATACATGGGTAGTTGAATAATATATAGCTTTTGAGAGGAAATAACAAATGGAACATGACCAAATTATGTCAACATAATGTTTTCAACACCAAACAAAAACTAAAATTAAAATATATATATATATACATACATATATATATATATACATATATAATTATGCATATAAAAGAATTTGGTAAAAATACAATTATGTTTCATACGGTGTAATTAAACTCTAATCAATGAAGAGCTCATCTCACTTGGTTGGAAAGATGTATCTACCGGCCTAATTAAAAAAGATAGTAAATTGAACTTTTACACCCCAAAAGTTAATTTTATTATAATTTTTTTATCATTGGGAAAGAATATTACATGTATATACCCTTCCAGACAGGGACGGACGAACGCAGACTTTAAGGACAACGAAGGCACAAACTATGGTCAACGGTCAACGTCGAAAATCAAAGGTCAAATCAATATTTAACCAATTAAAAAAAATAAAAAATCAAATTTTGACCAGACACCTTGTTCCTTATTAATAGCTAGTGTTGAGTTTCACATTCTCATTTTAAGAATGGGGACACATTTGATTCAATCCCCTATATATTATACATTTACGAATAATATTTGTTTTTTTTTATGTATTTTGGGAGGAAAAAGGAAATAAATAAGAAATTGAGTATAAAATAAGCATAAAATTCAAATTTAAAAAACAACATACTGTTGAAGGTTAAATAATTGTAAAGTGCAAAGAGGCAAAATAATGAGCATGAAAGGTTTGATGAACTCCAACTAGGTAGTCAAAAAAAAATAAATAAATAAATAATAAAACTCCAACTAGCTAGATTTTATTCTCTTTATCATTATGAAAGAAAATCTAAAATTTTTTAGTGTATGCATTATTTTGGTGCATTTATATTCACACAAGTGTATGTGTGTGTGGAAATGGACAAGCATATCGTAAAATTATTCTTAGAATAATATTAAATTACTCCATATCAAAAGCTTAACAATTCGAGTATTAGTCAAAATATAATTTATATTCAAGTAATTAAAATTACATATTTCAGTATTTCTTTTTTCATAATAATGTTAAGAGAATGGGGATCTTATAGTGATTAAAAATATGAGATTTTTATTAAATTTTTCGTGTAGTTTTAATTGAAACAATAGTAATATTCAGAAGCAAAATAGTTGATCTAAAGTGAGATATAAAACAAAATTAGTGGAGTAATAAATGTGAGTTATAAATATGTTGACACGCCAATATATATCAAGTTCTTCCCATCTCACATTCTTATTTCAAATTATTATTATTATTATTATTATTATTATTATTATTATTATTATTATTATTATTATTATTATTATTATTATTATTATTATTATTATTATTATTATTATTATTATTAT